AAAGGTGTATACATCTGATTGTAGGAGAATTCATCTGTCAGCTTTGGGATAATCATAAATGAAACAGCAAGAATACACCTCATAAATATGATCTAATGGCAGCCTCGAAAACCTCCTTTTAAACTAAAAATAATACTTAACTTTTTTTTTCTTCATTTAAACTGCTAGCACTAGAATAATTTAAGTCTGGCGACTTGCATATTCGATCTAGCTCCAGCCGAGACCGACTGCTTCTTTTCCGGTCATTCCTTCAGTTACGCTGTCACACTTTTTGTTCAGCAAAACCGTTTTTCTTTTTCTTTCCCTCTACCTTCCTGCCAACATTTTCATGTTCTTTTGGCAATTTCTTCAGATGTCGACCCCCCCCCGGCGTCCGAGGCGACTCGCGCACCGCCATCATTTACGTCGAACCGATCAGTTGTCGCCCAGGACAGCGTTGGTGTCCGTCCGGAAGATGTTTGGAGCCGGATCAATTCTGCGACGGAAGAGACGACTGTGGCGATGGTTTCGACGAACGGCCGGAAACCTGCGGTAGGTGATGGCTACACGAATATTAACGCTTGCCACTTCCACATGGTTACCAGGCAACAAGACTTTCTTCTGATTTGTAGTTTTGGCCCACGGGATTCACACTTAGCACCTTTCGGTTGTCAATTGGCCTTCGGCTGCTTTACGGAAGACAGTTACAGTCTGATCTATGAAGAATGGAGGCGGTTTGCCTAGAAAAGCCTTGAGTGGGAGAAGTTGCCAAAAATAAATATAACTTTGCTATAAAATCTGTGCATGAGTAAGCGAATGATTCATTTAAATTATTCAGGCTGAGTTCGAGTATTCAGCTCGCAGACTCTGTATGAACTGCAGTTTTTTTGGCCAAAGTCACAGCCGAAGCCTAAATTGCAGTCAACCGTCCTGGAAGTGGATCCACCGCTTTGGAGGAGGGAAAGCAAGTGGGAGGACCACTTACAATTGGTTAGAACTGAATTTTAAGAGCGATATCTCATAAGTTGATTGAGGATATCTTCAAAGTCTAACTTG